ATTCACATTTTAGTTATAAATTTCAAACCCTAAACTCCCGCTGCGTCTAAATAGCCTTTAACAGAAAATATAGGTATACAGCATCTAGCCTAGTTTAGCATTACCACAAGGTTAGAGATAGGGTCGCAACTTGCTTAATATGCGCCCCTTTGGGCGTAAGGAGAGATCTACTATTAACGTCAGTTTAAAATAACGGGAGAGGGGAGTAGGTGGAACAGGAGGTTATCAAAAATCTAACGTCAACATTTAAATTAAATGCATAGACATTATTGTACATATAATCCTACGGGACTTGAACCTTGACGAAGCTCTTGTACAACCTAGAGTAGGTGGATCGGCTTGCGAGTTTCGATGATTTAGGGAACCGGACCATAGCTTCAACCATAGTGGGGGGGGGGTTCTTAAGGAGAAACCAGACTAAGACAAGTCCCTGAAGGAGGGCAGCAGAGCTTTCAATACTCGTGGTGGCAGAGATCACGGGGATCGGTTTGGCACTCTGATGCACAATACTGCGATGTGGAAGGCAACGGGAAACCACCATACTATGGTATCCCAAGAAAAACTGAACTCAAATGATGTCGTCTTCTAGGGTAAAGCACTCTGAACGTAAATTAGTCCCCCATTCTGATGTCATCAATAAGTGCAATACAGGATAGGAAGGAGTGGAGGTGCGTGTCCAAGCAGTCTTAGGACTGACGAACTTGTGATGATGATGAAAAATAATAAAAACAATCCTTAACTTTTCACTTTTTTTGGGGTATCCTATATAGCCAGGGTAAATCTCACGTGATGAGGAGGAGCGGTTCCCACAATTTTACCAAATCTCACCAAAGAGGAAGGAAAGGTCCAAATTAAAAGAAAGACACCTCACATGTCGTTACGCAGTGAGGCATAGTTGACGAGTTGCGATGGAGATTTTGTTTACGTTTTATGTTTGACAACTGAAAATACCGAAAGCGATGTGCAGACGCTCATCGCGCAGTGGTTCAATGTGTGGTTCTGTCCTTTATTACTGATGATGCTTTTTCGATTCATTCGCTTCTGATTAAATTATTGCCCCAATCTGTAGTCTTCTTCACCACAAGAATACAGTTTAGCTTACTTAGAATTTGTTTAGGGAACTCCTAAGACGTGTCCGAAAAAATGAAATGTTTGTAGTTGAAGAAACGAATCATTCCAAAAATATGAAAAATTGAATCGTCATACATCTAATAATATGTCACAGGGTAATGGTACAATTACCCTTTTATTTGAAAACGTAGGAATTTAATCAAGAGTCCCCACTTTTTACTGCTTTTTTAATTAAATCCCTAGGATTATAATTAAAGACAGCTTTTAATATTACCCTGCGACATATAGATAATACGCATTAATTGATCCAGATCGTAAAATATAACTGTACAGTGCGTAGTGTGCACTTAATGAAAACACTTCTTGAGACCCGTTAATTGCGATAATACTTATGCTGTTTTGTTATTTTTTATACCGTACAAAAGTCGCTCAATGGCAAATTTTCCAACAGAAAACGATTTGTATGCCGATCAAGTTGACTATACACACACACATTTCCTGGTCATTGCTGTTCGCCGATTTTGCCTTGAATATTAATAGAGAGAGTCCTTAGTTGATCATTTTTTTAACCATATGTTTATTTATTTGTTTACTTATTACCGATTCAGTCATCTACACTTAGTCGTACGTTGTCTGTATTGTACCGTTTCAAAAATTACTAAAGACAGTGGCAATACTTACTCATAAACGCTTTTTTTTACTGTTTTTTTTTTGCTAGTTATTGTCGTCTATTTCATGAGATCGTGATCAATCATAATTATATTCAAATTAGGTATTTAAATCCCGCTAAAATTGATGCAGTTGTTTTCTTTTTTAATGATGAAGACCTTGAGATCTAAGAATACCCGCTTTCCTAAATTCTAAATAGAAATCCACTTCTTTGGTATGAAGTTAACTAACTCATGTCTTACTCAAGTTGTCCAAGAGTTTAAAGCTGTCAAACAAATAAATGAATGTTGAAATTTCTGATTTTTTTTTTCAGTATTAATAATAAACAAAGGCGAATAAAACTTACATCTTATATCATTCAGGGAAGCAGATATAGAAAATTACCTCAGGGCAAAGATTTGCTCAAAATTTTCCAATATTGGACCAAGCATGGCAAATGGCTGGTTTGTGACTACGACTAAAGCTTGGTTGGCAAGTTTGGTTCACAACTGAGCGCAAGATCTTTGTATTTTTGCGAACCAAGACAGTAATGTTTATAATCACTATCATCACAAGATCCCCAGCCCGAAGACTAATTGAACATGCATCTACACAGCTTCGTATATCGAGTCAATCTTTGTCTTTCTCGAAATCGTACATCTGTATGAGCGAATGGTAATCTAATGTAGGCCTAAATATGCCCCTCTTCACTCCTGTTTTCATATACCAATTCGGCTGAAGTAGTCTTGATATTTTCCATGAAAGCTGAACGACTTCCAAGAACCACAAAACTTAAAGCATGAACCCAATTGATATCAAAATGAGCCATGATTTACGATGTAAACGTTCGACTAAACCATTCGAAGCTCATAGTTAGGTTATATTAAATTCCAATAAGTTTTACAGAATTTGGAAAAAACCAAAACGAGAAATCCAACAATCCAAGAGCATGACGCTGCCCGCCCAGTCTTGTACTGCATATTAATAACTTAATTGTTATTATTAGAAACAAATAAAACACATTTAATGGGGGCATGAAACAACTAATGATTAGGTTATATGGCTGTAAAGCTTCCGTGATTAAACGCCAAACCCTTTCATAATGGGTACTAAAGGCACTCGCTATATCTACTTGGTACACTTGGTATTCATCAAAAATAATTTCTATGCACTGAAATATTGGCAAATTGTGAAGCACATGTGACATTTAATTAAAACAATGCTTGTAATCATAACCTAACATTTCAAAAATAAATAATCAAATTTTTCACTTTATATTACTTGTATCAATAGAAATCTTAGTGAGCCATTAAAGCGAAAAATATCGAGAACCCTAATTGTTAACAATTACAACAAAAAGCATTTCATTTGAACCTCAAAACCTGTTTTATCATGTTCCTTTATAAAATTGAAAGGAAAGTACCTATGCATGAAAATGGATAGTATATTTCTTCTTCAACATTTTAAAAACTCCTGCTAAAGGTTTCTTTTTCTGGCAAAAAATAAAAGTAAATGTTTCTTCAGAGTCTTTCAAAGCGTATCATCGAGCGCCATGGCCTAGAGGTTTAGACCATTGCTTGGCATTCGGGAGGACGCCTATTCAATTCCGGGTCTGTCAGCCTTGGTCAAGTTTTTCTGTGGTTTCCTTGGATCACTTAGGCAAATACTGGGGCAGTAATATTTCATAGATAATCTTTCATTCTCTTCTGTCTTCATTTCGTCGTCTCATTTTTCTCACCCGAACCACCACCCACCCATTCCCACGAGGCTGAAGAGGGCCTTCCGTCCTACTTTCCGACGTAGTCCGGAGGGACTGCCCGCCCGCCAGCATTAGTGGCTGGTGAGAATGAAACACCTAAAAGTTTTATTTTATCTCTGATAGAATGAAAACATTAGTATCTCCTCACAAGGATGCAACTGCAGTTACTTGGTCTTAGTTAATGAATGTATTTATATTTTAACACTAGTTTATTTATAACTACTCAGTAGTTTCTTCGCTTCTTTGTGATGATGTTGCATATCAAGGGAATTCGGTTTTTTGTTGAAATTAATCATTTTGTTTGTGTATTACCTAAAATTTAAGATAACAAGGAAATCCACCGATAGTGCTTAAGGCCACTGATAAATCAGAAAAGATCTCAAGGTTTTGGCAATTTTACACAATTCTGTCAAATAATATAAATAAGGTTTTATCTGGTAGCATGTCCATTCAAAATAATAAACCACTTTGTCTATCTCAAGGATGTTCAACTGTTTGTCGATTTCGTAAACTGTCTAATTAATTCGACATTTACTAATTGCTTTATTAAACCTACGCATGATACAGTTTTAAGTGGTCTGCATTAAGTAATGTCGCAAAAATTTAATAACAATGAAATACTTCATCATTTAGAAAACAATTCAACAAAAAAGGCAGTAAAAATACTGCTAATTTTCAAGAAATTACATTTCAACAACGATTAATATTTTTTGTTTAATTTTCAATTCTGTGCAAATTCGTAGTGTTGAGCTTCTAGAATAGTCAAATTACTACGTCATAGTTGTTACTTAGTTGTATTATAGCTTATTAATAGTTTACTGGCAAGGTTGTGAAAGATAATTTTAGATTTTACGGTAAACAACACAATTAATTATCAAAAAAGCCCATGTTGGGTATTGACTATTTGCTCATCATCATGACCAATTGAACTTGTCATTTAGTAGATTAAAGAAGTTACAGAGCATTTTGCAATAAGTACTTACTTACCATGCTTATAAATACCTATATTTATTATATATATACTAAATTATCGATTAAAAATAATTGAATTGTTATTATACATTACCATAAAGTGTTTAATTTCATCAAAAATGTACTTGAAATTCAGATAGATTCAGCGAGAACATTGATGAAGTCATTTATCGACGTTTCGTCAACAGCTGTGGTTGACATCCTCATAAAATGTGGCGAGAGCGTAAAGTCCGCAGCGAAGGACTTTATCCCTGAGGATGCTAAGCACAGCTGTTGACGAAACGTTACATATGGGGGTCAACTGTAGGGATGGCTAGATTAATAAGTGGTTTTGAAAGATGGCCAAATGTTTAGCATATATATTTGATATAAAAGTAGTATACCTTACCTATGATGGATAAAAAAAAGCCATCGGTATTCTTATCAAGTGAAAGAATCTTAGATCACGCCCTAATGTCGAGCTCTATTCTAATAACTTTAGCCGAAAAGTCTTTTGCTTAATTTCATGATATAAGCATACGAAAATTTTCAATTCTCTTTCTTCTTGCAGGCGTCTTCTGAAATATGACATCGACTTGTAAACGGTAAGTTAAGAAGTTTTTATTTTTCCTTCTGAACCAAGACTTAGTGAAAATTCTTGAATGAAGTAAATAGTAAACATTCTTGATTTAAATCTTGTAAATTTGTGAAATATATTTAGGCAGTAATCAGAAATTAATTTAATGTTTGGTCACCACTCAAAAATGCTGAATGAATAGATAATTGAAAACGTATATGACTGAAAAAATGACCTTTATAAAACGAATAATAACTAGCCACACTAATTTGAAGTCAGGCTCTTATTGTGCGAGTTATCAACGATAGATTTTCAAGTTTCTGTATCATTGCACCTAACCATAACCCCCAAAAAATTCGTATAGTAAATTAGTTGGACGAGTATAATTTTTATACAGTCGCACCTGGGAAAACGAGAATTCAAGGCACCCGAATATTATTCTCACTCGTAGAGTTTTCTCATTTATCATGGTGCCAGAACGTTAAGAAATAGGTAACACATAAATATATACACATTTGGCTATAAATAGGTACTTATTTTATTTATTTAAAAAAATCAGTTAATTTTTTCTGAGTATATTCCTTTTACAATTTTGAATATGTTTTTCAATTTCATAAATTTTATCAAAAATGAAATCACTTTAATTTTTCGCTGCAATATTTTGAGGGAACAACGTCAAACGTAGTTTCTCCAATGATTGTTATCAACTAAAACCAAATGTTGAGGATGAGTACTATGAGCAGGTAAGAAGAAGCGCACAAATGTGCTGCAGATGTCTAGTATAGTTACAGAGGTCTAGAGCTCTAGTAAGAAACTGTCACTTTCAGAGGTCTAGAAGTGAAAAATGACTCTCTCTAAAAAAGGTACCTACACTGTCACTCATAGAGGTTTTCAGGGCTAAAAATGACTGGACCTGATTTTTTTTGTCGCTTATAGAGTTTTCTCACTAATCCAATTTTCGCTTATCCAGGTTCGACTGTATAAGAAAGGAGGTACTCTTATAATTTTATAATCAAGAATTCTAAAAATCTTTAACAGATGTCCATTTTATTTCTTCGACAATTTCAGGTGACAAATTTCACAATATGAATAATAAACAGTAATTCTCTGTTTTCTTGCATCCCCTACCAAACGTAATGGCGCTAAATATATACGATGCATAGGTTAGATACTAAATTGAGGGTGCCACCCGGTAAATTATTGTGAACGAAACGATGGGCTTATGTTACATTTATTAACTCTCAAATTTTCATCAACATTCTTGGCTTCATCAGGAGATCACTACGAATATATAAATGAGAAGTTGAAATTGTAATTACAATTACAATAATCATAAAGATGTACCCATCGTTTTGTTTTACCTGCCGACACCCTCAATTCAATTATTTTTTATTACAATAGTACACTAGTTACTAAAATCAACTTTATATACATACGTAACGTTTTTAAAAATAGTTTTTGTAGTCCTTCTATTTTTTATTTAATTCATGTAGTTAGCATCCACTGATTTAGGGAATACCTAAATTTTCTCACTCTGTACATATTTGTTTTTTATGCACACTAAAGAAAGTCCTTTGATTCGTTTGAAATGTTTAAAGAAATGAGGAAACTAAAATTTTGTAAAAGCAAGCGATCAATCTCGGATTGTACGTAAAGCGTTAATAGTCGGGAACGTCTGTTTGTTATACATAGGCTGGGATATTTGACCTGTCGTTAGTTTACGTGAGGAAGGTTATGGACCGCCCGGCCGTTGCCTTCATGTGTAGCATCCAACTTAATGTTGAACTGTATCGTTGCATTTTAAACAGGTATTAATAAAAAACTACTCCGACCAATATCTACACAAAATAAGTACAGATAACGTGGTACCTTTCGAATGGGCATACGGCGTAGGAGCAGTAATCGGCAAATAATTTTAGGTGGGGTCCAGATGTTTTTTATCGAGCTCCAGAAAACAAATCATAAGGGTGGCACTCAATGCTCAAACATATTTTATTATCTATAAAAGATTTTTTTTTTAATAACTTGAATAATTTACTTCAATTTCTTTGGTGGTCCACTTTTTTTAACTTTAGCGGTCCTGACCTGGACCGCCGTGACCCAAATGCCGACCCTTGGCTTTGGGAAACTTCTACCGTTAGGTAGATATCTAGGCCTCTAGGTAGATATGACGACTGGAAATTTTATGGGAATTTCAGAAAAATTTACGTATTGCTAGTGGTGTATATTTATCATCACATCGTTTATTACAAAGAAATGTAACTTTATTAAAAATGGAAACTTTAACATTTTTTCTTCAACAGAAGAGAAGTTAATTTATGCAATTAAAGGCAGTTTCAGTTAATAGTAACTTTGAAAAACATGTTCAAATACGTTTTCACACTTCATCTTCATTAGTGGTACATTTGTGAGCCTTCACTGGTCGAAGTCCATAATTTCTTAACGCTTGTTCGAAACATCTCTTCCATGAACATTTCTTTGTACGTATTATATCAGAGCTAGGTAAAGTATTATTGCTTTGTGCTTGAAAGTGTGCTTCCAGACTTCCAGGGCTAAAACGCCATAGGCGTAGGGCTTAGAGCTCTGTTGGCGAGGGCATTGCCCAGCTCTGCATAGTTACATTATAAAAATCTCTATACACTAACGTTATCTTAGCCACCCGCTTATAAAACCGTCCATGTACATTGCAGCTCAATGCACATGATGTATTGATTTACCACCTTCTGCAAAACAACGCCGGCTTTTTAAGTTAGGTTAGGTGTGCAGATGATTCGTTGATTTACAACCGCCTGCAAAAGAACGCCGGCTTTTTAGGTTAAGTGAATCAAAGGAGTGCCCTTACTATATAGAATTCCTTTCTACTGTGACGTAGGTAGGTATATAACAATTATATAATAATAATATTCTGATTTGATTTTAAAATTGATTTTATAAAACAACTAGCAGTGAAACCCGGCGTTGCTCGAGTTAAAATACATCGCATGTTTAATGGTATATAAAATATTTAAGGATTCACTTTTTAACGTAGATAATATAGATTTCTATCTTAGATATTGAGAGACTTAGACCCGGTTTCCTGATTGGAACTTTCCAGATCATTCCAGATATTTCTAGAACTTTCTGGAACATTCCATGTCGATTTTAACAGTTGCACACAATTTGGAACTTTCCAGATATTTCTAGAACATTCTGGAACATTCCATGTCGATTTTAACAGTTGCACACAATTTGGAACTTTCCAGATATTTCTAG